CCACTGGCTGCTGGCCCCACCCTCAGGGACTATAGAATAATCGACTAACCAATAAGAATTCATGATGTTAATCGACAAATTGACCGATATTTAACATCCCTACTCTGTATCTCTCTCTGAAGCTATCTTAAACCCCAGGGTTATGTCTACACTGGCGGGTTCTTCTGCAAGAACACCTTGCGCAAGGACTCTTGTGCAAGAACACATCCACACTGCCATTTGCTTTTGCACAAGAGCATCCATGGCAGTGTGGATGCTCTCTTGCACAAGAAAGCGCTTCATCCACATTGCCCTCTTGCACAAGAGCTCTTGCGCAAGAGGGCTTACACTTGTTAGAAAAGAGAATAGCTCTTGCACAAGAAGTCCTCTCTTCCCACGCTTTGCTGTAAATCTTTTTGCGCAAGAGTGGGCGGGCAATGTGGACCCTCTGCGGAAGAACGGCTGTTCTTGCACAAGAACTCGCCAGTGTAGACATAGCTCAGTAGCGCATCCATTTTCCCATCAGGTTAAAATCTCAATGACTGGTTCACAGGGAAGCTAGGAATGGAGACTCTAAATATACTAGCTACTGCGTAGATGTAGAGAAAGGAACATATTAAGGTGGTACTTTCTTTTTATGCTGCTCAATTTATTCTCCTTGTTCACACCAGCCCTTCCATACTTTCCCACTTCTGTTGCCTGGGATCAGATAAGCCTTGACCTAACTGGTTGCAATTCCGTGCCTACCCTGAGGCTTTATTTTGGCTTTTGAAGTCATTCAAAGATACAAACTCCAAACCTCACAAGCGAAAGCTCTTGCCATCAGAGGAGAGAAGCCATGCTAGTGACCGAGTTAGGTCACACGAAGTGAACTCCTGTGCTTACATACTCTGGCTTGAGCTGTGCAAAGGCAAAACATGGGGCCAAGAAGGGGAAATTCAGGTTGTACAGTTTTCCTTCCCAGTTCTGGCACCTCACTAACACCCTGCTCTGAAGCTCACTGAAGTCACGAAGAATTTTTCCATTGACTTCAAAAGCTTTGAATTGGGCCCCATCCTACTGAGGTATTGCTCCTCCAGGTCCATCCTCTGCAGGGTAAATCAAGACAGAGTCGAGGGATCTGATGTCAGACCTACATTTTATCCTCCCACTCTTGTGAGCCCATGTATTTCTTAGATGAGATACACACTTCCCATGAACTTAATAAGCCGGGGACTTTTCAGCTGGGAAAAGAGACGACTAAGGAGGGATAGAATAGTGGTCTTCAAAATCATAAGTGGTATGAAGAAAGTAAATAAGGAAAAAGTTATTTCCTCCTTCCCATCACACAAGAACTAGGGATCACCAAATGATATTACTAGGCAGCCGGTTTTAAACAAACAACAAGAAGTTTTTCTTCACACAACATACAGTCAACCTGTGAAACTCCTTGCAGGAGGATGTTGTAAAGTCCAAGACTATAACAGGGTTCAAAAAAAGAAGAATTCATGGAGGCTAGGTCCATCAATGGCTATTAGCAAGGATTGGCAGGAATGGTGTCCCTAGCCACTGTTTGTCAGAAGCTGGGAATGGGCGACAGGGGATGGATCACTTGATAATTGCCTGTTCTGTTCATTCCCTCCGGGGCACCTGGCATTGGCCACTGTCGGGGGACAAGATACCTGGTTAGATGAACCTTTGGTCTGACCCAGTCTGGCCGTTCTTATGTTCTTTGCCTGTTAGTGATTCCCAGTTTTAATCTCTGGGTCTCGTCTAGTCTCTCGTGTCATCGTCATACATTGTTGTCTATGACCATCCCATATAGGAGATGTACTCCCAGTTTTAATCTCTGGGTCTTGTCTAGTCTCTCGTGTCATCTTCATACATTGTTATCTATGACCATCCCATATAGGAGATGTAGAAAACATGACATATGGGTAACGGTTGAATGAACTGGGCATATAGGCTATGTCTACACTACAGGCTTTTAGCGCAAGAAGTTTTTTGTGGAAGAGATCTTCCGCAAAACCTTCTTGCGCAAAAGAGCATCCACACTGCATGGATGCTCTTGCACAAGAAAGCTCTGATTGCCATTAACAGAATGGCCATCAAAGCACCTGTGCTTTTTCTGATAGGCTCTTTTTGCACAAGAAACCCCTGCATTGCGTCCAGACACGTCTTTTTGTGCAAGCGCTGTAGTGCAAAAAGGAGTTATTCCTCCTGGGGAGAGGAATAACTCTACCACCAAAACCCCTCTGTCCTGTCGATTTACTGTATTTTTTCTTGCCCAAAAATGTGCTTGAGGTGTGGACGCTCCGCTGGTTTTTACGCAAAAACCTTGTAGTGTAGACATAGCCCTATAGTCCAGTCCAAGCTAAGGAGGTACATGATTCCAACCACCTTTTACCTATTGGGAGACTGTTAGGAGGATGGTGTTCAAGCATTTTCTACGTCCACCCAGGGTAGGATGAGAAGGAATCACTTCAGCTTGCATCCAGGGAGATTTAGGTTGGATATTAGGAAAACCTCTCACTATAAAGGATAGTGAAGCATTGGAACAGGTTATGTGGGAGGCTGTGGAATCCCATCATTGGAGGCTTTTAAGAACGGGTTATACAAACATTTGTCAGGGATATTCTAGGTATATTTATCATTTGTCTACACTTAAAATAATACAGCAGGACAGCTGCTTTGCTGTAGCACATCAGTGTAGACACTCACTATGGCAACAGGAGGGGTTGTCCCATCACAATCTGCCTTGCAGGAGGCAGTAGCTAGGTCAACAGAAGAATTCTTCCTTGACCTGGCACTGATTACAGCAGGCATTAGGTTGGTGTCGCGATGCCTCTCAGGGGTGTAAAGTTTTCACACCCCTGAAAAACAAAGTTGTGCCAATTTAAGTTTTCAATGTAGACTGGCCCTTTAGGGTTGACTAAACACAGAGATGGACTAAAAGCCCTCTTGACCCTAGATCAGTCTTCCAGCCTGTAGTGAGTCAGGTTGGCCTCTTGCTGACCCAGAAGGGGACGCATTCCCTAACATCCCTTGGTGGGCGGTGCCCAAGCACCCCAACCCCACCCACAGGAAGCAGAAAGGCAGGGCTGGGACTATAAGAGCAGGGGTGGAGCACTCAGTTGGAGCCCAGTGGGCGAGTAAGACGGATGCTCTCCCCGTGCTCCTGAGGAGAAAGACGCAGCTGCCCCACCCCAGGAGGAAACACTTGATTGGGGGGCTGCCAGCCCCCGACGACGAGCCAGGGCCACCATAACCAGACAACTGGCCAGGTCGTTCAAGACCCCTGCCGGGCTCAGGAGATTGGGCTGTGCCACCTAGACCGCTGCTAGACCCTGACCGGAGACCACGGACACGCTGCCAGAACCTTCGTCCCTGGCAGAGACAGCAGAACAGAGGTGGAGCCAGGTAGGCCCCCAGGGAGAGGGGGGAGACTGGGAAGCAGCCCAGGCATAGCCAACCTAGGGCCAACCGAGGACATAGAGGTTAACTGGTCGGCGTGTTGCGGCCAGGATCCCCGCTGACCCAGAGGCAGCCTGTGCTGCCACTGTTAGGGTCCTGGGCTGGGATGCAGTGGAGCGGGTGAGCCTGCGTCCCCCCCCTCCCCTTGGGTGGCAGGTTTCCCCCAGTAGGGATAAAAACTCTGCACTTGTCGGCTCTCCACCAGCACCAGGCTTGAGCTGCAAAATGTTTAAACTCTTGGTATTGGTTGTTGCCTCCCCACCCCAACAAGGGCTAGGCCTTGTAAACTGCAGCCACATCTGAGCTCTTACCTGCAACTCTTTGCTTGCCACCCTGCCCTGATCAAGATCTGGGCCTTATAAATGATTAGCTCCACCTGTAGAGCCCCCAGAGCCCTTAACTGCTTAAGATCGCTGTTTGTTACCCGGCCTGGATCCTGGGCGTGGCACTATAATCTGCCGTTCAACCTGCTGTCAAGCTGGAGCCCCTATACGGTTGTATTGTGTTTGGTTTGCCTGCCCCACCCTGTACTCAGGGCCTGGGTTTAAAGAGTACACATAAGGGGGGGGGGCGTTTACTGGCCTGAGCACAGGTCCAAGCTCCAGGACTGAACCAGGGCGTTTACACAGCCCTACAATGTTGTGTTTCATAATGGTTCTGTAATTATTCATGCACATGCACACGCACACAGGCCCAATGCCCCACTGAGGCTGTACAGACAAACAGACAGCAGGATCCCTGACCCAAAGATCTTACGATCTAAAGAACATCGCCCCGGAGCCATCTGGGAATTCATCACGGCTGAATTCAGGGCCTGGATCAGCAATGGGACTTTTTTCTAGGGACTTCAACAGAATTTGGATCAGGCCCACATTCAGGATTGGCAGCAGCATGGGAAGTGGATGTAGCGATGTCAGTGGAACATTTAGAACCAAACACACCTGTTAAAGGTAAATGCCACACCACATATTTCAATAAAGCTTCACCTATTGACATCAAAGCTGAACATGGCCCACCTCGTCCGTGTCTTGCAATTCTATCTATGCATATATTATAGATGCATTTGATAAATGACCAGTCCTGAGAAGCAAAGAGGGGGGAACAAGGCGATTTGGAAGGCAATGCTGGTCCAAAGCACAAAGTGCGACCTCTAGAATGTGAGGCAGGTTTCCCCAGGCGAAGAGATGCAATGCTCAGATAAGCAGGGCACCGGTTTTGCATGCCAAGAGTTGATTCAATTAGTTATACAACAATTGTCCTGGAATTACAGATCCACTAATGACTGAGAAAGCAGATTTATAGTCTCTTGGTTGCTGGTATAAATAGTTTGTATTTTAAATTGAATTTAAAGTACAGTGCGTCATGGTGCTGCTAAAAAGGGATCTGCTATTTAATGTCTCAGAAAGAAACAAGGTAAGATGAGTTATCACCTTTTGAATTAAAAAAGGACAACAACAGGTGATTGACTGATGGGAGCATGTAGTCATATGCTGGTAATTTATGCAAATTTCCTAATACTGATGCTTTCAATGGGAATTATTTTGGCTGCACTCAATTGGATTGTGACTTGAGGCTTATTATGCAAGTTTTTTAACACATCTGTAGAGTACTTCACTCAGAGTAGCTCAAATGCAAATCAGAACTCACCCTTTTCCTGGCCCACGTAGATAGGCCGCTGCCCCAGCTGGAGCAGAGCGAGTGCATCTATTTAAATAGTCTCTCCTGAAATACAAGTCTTTGGAGGTCAAACTAGATGACCCTAGGCGGTCCCTTCTGGCTTTGGCAAGCAAAACAAAAAACCCAAAGCACCTTTAATCACTGAATTTTGGCTGAGAAGGAACACCTGACAGGTAGAGTTCAAACCCTTCAAGGTAGAAAGTCTCAGAGGGGTAGATGGGTTAGTCTGTACCTTTAAAAGCAGTGAGCAGTCCTGAACCACCTTCAAGACTAACAAATTTATTAGCTTTTGTGGGTAAAGCCCATTTCATCAGGTGAGTTGGAGTGGAAATTACAGAATCCAGGGTATATATAACAGCAAAAGATAATCTTCAAGGAAGAGATTGACTAGCACTATGTGTTTCTTCAGAATCTAGCCCAATTCTGCTTGGGGGCCTCTAAGTGCTATCCTGCTCCAATAATAAATGAAACAAACCACAAACATTAATGGTAAGTGATTTGGAGCACACTGAATGACTATTTAGATGACTATTACTTTTATTGCACCTCTTTGTGTTCCCCAATACGTGTGTATGAAGAGGCGAGCACAGCGGTTCCTACCCTTTTCCAGATGGGGACCTATTTTTGATAATTCAGGAAGACTGGGTGACCCAAGGCAATTAAAAACGGAGGGAGGAGGGAGGGCAGAACCACCTGGGAAGATCCTTGGTGACCCTTTTGAAATGTAATGGCGACCCGTGTTTGGGTCCCGACCCATAGGTTGGGAAACCCTGAGCTAGAAGGATTGTCACATGCATTAATTGCACAAATTCTCTGCTGCCATACCTTTCTTTCTTAACTGCAGTTACAACAGCAGAAACTCTGACCCTACGGGCCAAAGTCACACAATAAAACTCTGGTTGTAGAGAGGAGTAAAAGCAAGGTCTCCTCAAATTTAGGTAGTGCTAGCTATATCACTCTGGGGTGAGAAATTCACATCTCCCCCTTCCGCCCCAAGAGATGTAGTTAAGTCAACCTAAGCCCCACTATAGCCAGCACTAGGTAGCTGAAAAAAGTATTACTCCCTCTGACAGGTGGATTTACTACAGCAATAGAAGAACCACTTCTGTCACTATAATAAGTGTGTAAAACAGAGGTGCCAGCACAGGGGAAGCTAGAGAGCCAAAGCCCTCCCCCACTTTTTACCGGCTCGAAGGACAAGTGATGGGGGAAGAGGAGTGAGTCGGAAGTAGTGTTCTCTATAAGCCGTGTGCTTGTGCAGCCACTCGGGAGAGAGTCCAATGCTCCCCGGCTGATTTGCAGAGTACCCACAGCTAGGCTGTTTCTACTGGTATGTGCAAATGTTTACCACTTCAATGCACATAAAATGATTCCACATATGGATGGAAAAACTTCTCACATGGATAGAAAAGATTAGAGGGAACATTGGTGGAGAGTGGGTTGTGATGCTACACCCTATATTCTTCACAGAAATATTATAATATGAATGTGACAAGATGGGTCATAGGAGATATCATTGGAAAGGTCATGATTTACTGACTATGATTATCCTATTTGTATGCATGGATCATTTCTGTATCTGAAGATAGAAATACTGACCATGTAACAATCACAAAAACGTGGATTACACTTCGAGAACACCCGCCGGACGTGGATGCGCCATTAGTAAGAGTAAGACGACTTGGGAGATGCTAATCTCACTCCTTCCTGGGGGGCTGCTTTGACATTGCAGAGTTGTGATTGTGTCACATGGCATGGGATGCCATCTGGAACTGGTACTTTTCCATTAGAAGGGAATGTGTGTGTAGAGGGGGAAACAAAGGATTCCCACCGTATGCAAATCCTATTTAGGACTGGGGAGCGAGTTAATCTGGGCTCTTCTCCACTGCTTCCAGGACCAAGAAGGAAAACTGCTGAAAACCCGTCAAGAAACAAAGGAACTAAACTGGGAAGGGCAGTGACCCCAGTACATCACTTGATACAGGATGCTGGAGGGAAGGGGCCATGCAGTACCAGGAGTTTTGGAGGAAGAGCTGTGCAAAAGTCAGGGCTCAGAGTCAGCAGGGATGGAGCCTCCGGGGGTAAGGCAGGGCATGACTTGGGTATCTGCACCCTCCCACTTTTAGGGTACTTCCGCCATACCTCATCCAAAATTACAGCAGCAAAACTGCAGTGTTTTGAGTGGAGACACAGTCCAAGCCTCTCCACCTTCTTTCACTACTAGATAATAATTCTAGTGATGACCATAAGTTATTTGTGCAATATTTTCCAAATAACTCAAGATAAAAATAAATTCAGTACAAGTCTCCTGAAAGCATGCTCTAGGGTCCAATGTACTCTGTATCGTTTCTTGTTAATTTTTTTTTACATTGACTAGAACAGCATGCCGATATTATAAGCGATCCAATGTTTTTCCACAAACCATGATTCATTCTTGATTTGAGCCATTTCCTGGATATTTGTACAAATGCTCAAAACATAAAACACACCAAATGTCTGCCAGTGAAATGAAGAAGAAATTGATTTGGATTGCCTAGGCTGTTGTAGGTTAAAACAACAACATATAGCATTTATGTGAGCAGATATGTAAAAATCAGATTACAAATGTGACATCCTCTTGGAAAGCAACTTCAGCTCCCAAATTTGCGTAAACATTTAATCAGCTGGAAATGCTATTTATTGCTTTACATGCACCACTGACAACATAGTCTCATTAATATTTAGTGTTTGTTCCAGGGAAATGGATTTTATTCCATCATCCAAGCGAGCTGACTTTTAAACACGTTACATTTTAATTTGCTCATCCCCAGCTCTGAAATAGAGGCTTGGTTCCAATTGATGTGATTTTTTTCTTTATATTTGGTTTACCATGAGTAACAGCACGAAACCAGACTTCACTGAGCCAGAGAGATCTTTGGCATCTCTATGCTAATCCATCTGTCTAGGTCCTTATCTGACCTCCATTCCCATAGCATCTGAGAGCCCCTCACAACCAGCTGAATTTCACTTTACAATGCCCCTATGGGGCAAGGAAGACTTAGCATTCCCCTTGCATAGAAACAGGACTTCATCAGTGCAAACCCGGCATCTTTTAGTTTGCATCAGGAAGGTCTACACTGGACAACCACAATGCAACATGGTACAGCGCTCTTCAGTGCGCATGCCATAGTCTGGACCGTAGTGCCTTGAAGACAAGTCCAAATTACAAAGTCACACAAGGGACACATGTCGGAGCTGGGAAATAAACAGATCTCGGGAGACTGATGTTCAGTGCCTTTGGTACAAGGCTATCCTGACCCCATAAGGGACAAAGGGGGTGGCTTGTGTGTTCCCCCATGATGTTTAGGAAGCACCTGCTCCCGTTTGCAGAGGCATGCTCCGGCCCATGGCACATGTAAGGAAGGGGATGCTGGGATCTGTGGGTGTTCCTGGGATGGTCTACGACTCATTCCACCCCTTGACTTGAGTTTAGGGGAGGCAGAGTGAAGAGGTCGGCTTTGCCCCTAAAACTAGTGTATATTGGATCAGTGACTGGCACCAGAAGCGTTTCGACATGGTGAACTCTTCACACTGGCAGTGGGGGGGTGTCCAGCATACAGGCAGGTAAAATGAGCATAGCTAGTGCGAGGGGTCATTAACATAATCCTTGTGACAAGAGATTGGGAAGGGTTGTTCCACTTCATGCCTCAAGCTGTCCTCTAACACGCAATCACCATGATGAGACCCACTGTAGGAGGTGGATCGCTCCACATCTGCATGCTGCAGTGTTTTTACACCTTCCTTCAAAACATCTGGTGCCACCATTTGCTGGAGACTAGGAAGCCTAATCCGAACTACCTAGTCCGTGCCGCGTGTAGCCGCGGGCACGGAGTCCGAACTAGCCGGGATTTAAAAATGGCGGCGCCCGGCAACATGCAAATGAAGCCCGGGAAATTCAAATCCCGGGCTTCATTTGCAACTCCGGTTGCCTACATTAACCACCCTAGTTCGAACTAGGGTGGTAGTGTAGACATACCCTAATAGACTCCGGCATTTCTTAGGGTCCTAAGCTGGAGTCAGTGAGACGGAGTTAAAAAAGGAACGAGATCTACTGAGGACTAGTGGCTCCCCTGGGTGAGTTAGCCCCAAATGGAGGCAGAGACACAGCAGGTATCTGGGCTTGCAGAGTTTCCTTCTCACTCTCCAGTGAACTCCTGGATCAGAGCCCCCCTGCCTCCGAGCCCCCTAGTTGCAGGGGAGCCTGATCCCTGAAGTCATGCTGTCCATTCACAGATGCCAATCGGGGATGGGTGTTGCGCCATTGAGGCTCCTCCAATGGTGCTCAACCCTGTGTACGTACCAGTTTGGGATGGAGGGGGGCGCTGTGCCTCCCCTCCTGCTTATACCTGTCTACCAGTTTCGGATGGAAGGGGGCACTGTGCCTCCCCTCCTGCTTATACCTGTAACTCGTGCCAGGCTGTAAGGTCTGGTAGCCTCAAGTCAATAACAGTGCCTCTTGCTGCAGGGCAGTGCAGCCCAACAGCCAGAGTCAATAGTAACGCCCTCTTACCGCAGGGCAGCACGGCCTAGCAGCCAGTCAGTATCAATGCCCTCTTCCAGCAGGGTAGTGTGGCCTAGTAGCCAGAGTCAATAGTAACACCCTTTTTCTGCAGGGCAGTGTGGCTTAGCAGCCAGAGCCAATATCAAGGGTCTGTAGATTCCCACTTGGGGTTGGTGAGGATGGAGTAGGGGGTCCCAGCCCAGGGCCTTGTCCGCAGCAGCATGGTCCACCACTAGCTTGGTGGGGAATCCTATGGGAACATGCCAAGCTCCTGAGAGTACAACTCCCCGCTCTGGGCTATTTCCTACCCATCTCTCCAGCATGAGCAGCAGCGTGATCCACCGCTAGCTTGGTGGGGAATCCTATGGAAACATGCCAAGCTCCTGAAGGTACAACTCCCCACTCTGAGCTATTTCCTACCCATCTCTCCAGCATGGTCTTCTCTGTCTCTTTCCTTCAGAACTCTTCCCTGGGTTCCCCGCTGACAGGTGACAGCATCTGGGTGCACCTGTACTTCCTCTTCAGGTTCTCCTGCAGAGCCTCCTTCCTCATCAGCGGTCAACCCAGAATGAGCTGCTTCACAGCTGGCTTCCAGCTGGAGTACCCCCACAGCCCTGCTGGGCATAAGGCCTTCTCCGCCAGGTGGCCAGGGTTAACCCTCGCCAGTGTAAGGTCGGTACACCCCATCACAGATGGAACTGGGCTGTGGGGTCAAAGCAGACTAAGTCCGTACTGACTTCCATATGATTAGAAGGGAAGGTGGAAGCATCTCTTTATGGACCCAAAGTCAACATCCCTGCTATTTACATCTCACAAGAGTAGAGGGCAGCAAAGGACCGAAGCTGATCCTTGTAAAATTAATAAAATTCTTGCATCTCTACCAAAAGAATAGATGAACATAATTTGTTGAGGAAGAGTCAACATGTTTTTTGTAAAGGGAAATTGTGCCTCATCCATCTACTGGAATTCTTTGAGTGGTCAACAAGCATGTGAACAAGGGGGATCCAGTAGATATAATGTACTTAGATTTCCAGAAAGCCTTTGACAAGGTCCCTCACTCTCACGGGTTAGATCAACTGCCATGGGATAAGAGGGAAGGTCCTCTCACGGGTTGTCAACGGGTTAAAAGATACAAAACAAAGGGTAGGATAAATAGTCAGTTTTCAGAATGGAGAAATATAACTAGTGGCATTCCCCAAAGATCTGTCCTGGGACTAGTCCTACTCAACAAATTCATAAATCATCTGGAGAAAGGGGTTATCAGTTAGGGGGTAAAATTTGCAGATGATACAAAACTATTCAAGATAGTCAAGTCCACAGTAGACTGTGAAGAGCTACAAAGGATCTCACAAAACTAGGTGACTGGGCAACAATGGCAGATGAAAAGCAATGTTGAAAAATGCAAAGTGGTGCACATTGGCAAATAATCTCAACTATACGTATAAAGTGACAGGGTCTAAATTAGCTATAATCACACAAGACTGAGATCTAGAAGTCATTGTGGATAGTTTTCTGAAAACATCCTCTCGATGTGCCATGGCAGTCCAAAAAAGCAAACAATGTTGAGAATCATTAAGAAAAGGATAGAGAAGACATCAGAAAATATCATATTGCCTCTATACAAATCCATGGTACGCCCATGTTTGAATACTGTGAGCAGATGTGGTCCCCTCATCTCAAAAAAGATGTACTGGAATTGGTAAAGGTTTAGAAAAGAGCAACAAAAATGAGTAGGAGTATGGAATGGACACCACTGAGGAGGGATTAATAAGACTGGGACTTTTCAGCTTGGAAAAGAGTCAACTAAGGGAGCATATGATGGAAGACTATAAAACAGGGGTGGACAATTTTAGCAGGGGTGGGGCTACTTCACAAATTTTTGAAGTGGCCCGGGCTGCTCCGGAAGGGGTGAGGTCTCGAATGGAAGAGACGGGGCCAGGACACTGCTGTACTCCCCCACCCATAAACCCTTATTGGCCTGGGAGTAGGGGAGCATGTGTAGAAATGGAAGAGACAGGGCCAGGACACTTCTGTACTCCCCCGCCCATAAACTCTTATTGGCCTGGGAGTAGGGGAGCATGTGTAGTCTTTACCCCCATCCCTCCCTGAGAGAACTGCCAGCTGTTCTGAAGTCCCTCCCTGAGAGAACTGCCAGATGTTCTGAACAGCTGGCAGTTCCCTCAAAGCTGGACTGAGCAATAATTTTTTACCAGGGGCCACGTCAGAAATTTTTTAAGTGGCCCCGAGAGGGGTGAGGCCTCCGGCGGAAGGGGTAAGTGGCCCTGAGAGGGGTGAGGCCTCAGGCGGAAGGGGCAAGCCCAGGACACTTTCATGCTTCCCCACCTACAGACCCAGTATGGCCGTTCTTATGTAGCAATGCACAGTGTGCTTGCCTGTAAGTTCCAGCTCGTGAGTATCTGGTATCATCGGGATCATAAGTCAAGCATTAAACTTCAGCGAAAGTCTGGGAAAAAGAGTCACATTTCAAGCCATCTGCCTGTGCTTCTGCTTTTAGCATAGCCTAGAGGATGTCCGTGTCTGGCCATTCTGAACCCCCGAACTGCATGTGTTCTACAACAAACATTGATTTCTGCCGGATGATTTCCTTGAACCATTAATTTTCCCCTTAACTCTAGAGGATCCAAGGAACGAGCACTTGCTTTTCTCAAATGACTGTTGGATTAAGAGAGGAGATGGAGGGTGGAAATAACCTATAACCACCCAACAACAAACAGTGTGATGCCCACAATTGCTTGGA